TTGGGGTAAAAATCTGTTATATAAATCCCTAATAAGCATAATAATTCATAATTTTTTGGTCTAATCACATTTCAATTAAACTTGGAGACATAGATTTTCTGTTACATTGCGCAGACTCATTAGTTTTACACTCAAATCTGGTCATATTAATTTTCTGATTTGCATAATTAGTTTTCAGCTAAGTAATTTCGAATTATATTTAATGTGTCTCCAATACTCTCAGCACATGGGAGTTCTTTCTAAGCTTTCTTTGATTTTATATGATGAAATATATTGAGATAGTTGTACTATTCATATGAATCTAAATTTGTTTACACATTGATATTGAATGGTAATTTTGTTGACATAATATTCAGTAGTGACACAAAAAAACACTATTTGGTTAAGTCTTCGTAAAGATGACAATAAATGAAAACAGTGAATGATTCCAAACTTTCAGAAAACTTATAATGAATAACCACCAACTTTGAAAAGTTGGGCAATGCAGATCCATTCTCTATTTAAAAGCCTGGCATTGCCAAAACACCCATTACATTACACAGTGATTCTACCAAATCCTCTCACCCTTTGTTCCTTTTGTTTTAAATTATCGATAATTTACATATTGCCTGATGAGAGCAATACAACATATGTCACATGGGTTATGTAACCAACCACATGGTACTCAACTAATGCAATTCATTTATGTATAATCACTGGTAATTTATTAAATTCCTTCACCAATCACCTCTCAGCTTAGTCCATAGAGTAGCCTTTCCAGAACTTGTTTGATCTGGGAAATCAGGAACTCCAAGTCTGGCCTACCAACAAAAAAAAATGTCTCATTTTATAATGAATTAAAACATAAAAATCCTTTTTCTCAACAAAATTTCATTGCAAATTTTGCCGTTTTTTCTGTAATTAGTCCCCGTTCGGACGAAGTCCGAAAACGGGGACTTATAATTCGGTCTCCGTCCGTCCGTGTGTCTGTGCGTCCGTCCGGAGTCATATCTCAGAATCCCTTGGACCGATTCG